GGAGTCGTGAGACAAAACCGAGGCTGCAGGTCAAGCTCAGAGTGCAGTCAGCCCCCGGTTACCCACTGCTGTTGTCCTCCCTGGGGCTTGTCAGTTTTCACCCAAGGCCCCATCCCCCCACCCCACCCAGCTGGGGTGTGCTTGGGGAGAGGCTGCACCAGCTTTAGCTAAAGCATTTATGTACAGTCCCCACTAGAGTTACGCTGCAGGCATCCTCTGTGGAACACAAAGGATACATACAAAACTGTTGCATTTATATGTCAAGAGCAACACGCAGATGACTTTTTGGTCTTTTGCTATTTTGCAATATACACAGTAGACTGTGTATCTTTTTTCTTTTAGTGGCTTTAAACAATATTTCAAAGTATCTCACAAATTTGTGCACAAACTCCGAGAGGTCTTGGCTGGACCATCTGCTGCTTCGGTGGTGCTGACTAGAGTCACTTGGTGGTATTCATCTGACAGGGGGGAGCTGAGGGACCCAGGCAGAGGCTGTGAGCCCCCTTAAAAGGCCTGGCCCCAAGCTGTCATAGCCTCATGGGTCTGTTTCCTGCTCTCCCAGCCTGTGTCATCCTCCAGGTCCCTGGTGCAGGCCTATCCCATCCTGCTAGTGTAGACTCCTCGAGGGCAGGAGCTGAGCTTGACGATCACTATGACCCAGTGTCCCGTGGTGCTTTTGGGCCACAGTGAGCAGGGAAGCTTTGTCTGACCAATCAAATGGAGGTGAGGGCTCGGGGGCTCCGGGGTCCCTTGAGGGGAGGAGGCTCACTGCTGTGAGGGATGGGCCCAGCCGTGCTCAGGGAAGCCCAGCAGAAGGCAGTCCCTGCCAGCCCTGTCAGCACCACACAAGTGACAAGAAGGTCAAGGTTCGGGCGCCTGGGTGGCTCAGTTGGTTAAGCGACTGCCTTCGGCTCAGGTCATGGTCCTGGAGTCCCGGGATCGAGTCCCGCATCGGGCTCCCTGCTCGGCAGGGAGTCTGCTTCTCCCTCTGACCCTCCCCCCTCTCATGTGCTCTCTCTCATTCTCTCTCAAATAAATAAATAAAATCTTAAAAAAAAAAAAGAAGGTCAAGGTTCACAGGTTTATCAGCATCAGCAGGAGACGGACATGGGTGCTGGTGTTGTCACTCCTCCCATGTGAGGGGCCCCAGGGGAGCTCCATCCCATCATCTTTCAAACCTTCCTGACTACCTGGGATGCTGCTCACCTACATGGCACCTTTGTGCAAAGTAGAAAAAGGGGTTCCCTCTCGGTGGGAAAATTAACAAAAAGTAGCCCCTCTGAGCAGTCACAGCATCATGCGTGAACTGCCTGGTGGGCACAAGGTGCTTCGTGGAGGAAAAGTGCCCCCTGACCCCTCTCTGCCAGGCATCTTTGCATTATGCACTACCTTTGGCCCCCACAGCTTCCCTCAAACAGAGCAGGCCTCCAGTGTGGCTCGGTGGGCGATGTGTACCTGGTTCTCCCCAGGCTGGTAAAGCACAAGCCAGGGGCCCTGTGAGGCTTGTCACCTGGTGAGGTTCCCGCCCCTGGACCAGCTTCATCCATAAAGGATCGGGGTCTTTAGTGTTCTTCAGTCACTGAAAGAAGCAGGATGCTGTCAGCTGCCGTAAAAATGTGACCTTTGAAAATTTACAAGAGCTTAGGGTTTAAAAGCTGCGGCGTTAATGAGGCATCCTATTAGCATCTCATTAAAGGGAAGCAGAGAGAAGCCTGCCCAGCCCAGTGATGGGCAGAGAGGGCCTCTCTGAAGCACCAGGCAGGAGGAGGGCTCTCCTCACCTGCCTCTCTCTTGTCACTCCTCCCAGAGGATCATCATGTCAGGGGAGCAGAAACATGACCAGGAACGCTGGCAAAAGGCCAGATGTCTGGGTGGCTTCACCGATGTCCCAGATGATGCGGTGGGAGGGGGCCAGGGGAGCTTCCCTCAGTCCTGCCTTCCTCCCCCGGCCTGGGCTGTGCTCCTGGTTGGTTTCTGTGGCATTCTTGTGCTGGGATCCCCCTGGCAAGGAGAAGTGGAACTGAGGAGGCCTGCTCGGGCTGGGGGAGACCTGGAGAGCCTTCGGTGGAGTCACAGACCTTTGGGGACTCCGGACCAAGGGAGAAAGTCTTAGCAGGAGCTCAGTTCAGAGCTGGAGCCATGGACCCGCACACAGTGCTCCCGAAGCCTCCAGAACTCTGGAGACCATGCGTTTACTTTGGGCCTGGAGCCCTTTGTGGGAGGAAGGGCTCCGGTCAGGCCCAGCTGATTCCCATCACCAGCTGCAACATCCCTCACCCACCTGGTCGCCCAGGCCCCTGGCAAAATGCACAACCGTATCCAGTTTTTTCTTGAGGGAGTGGAGAAAGGAATGTTCATTTCATTGTTTAAAAATAAATAAATAAATAAATAGAAATTTCTGAGCTGTGATTTGCTCGTAGCTTCAGAAGTTGCTAGTGCGAGTAGAGAGAGTGGCCTTATTTATCTTTCCTAAAGGGAAAAATGAAAGACCCTGTTTCCCTTCTCACAGCAGAATGGCTTTCTTGCACATAAGAACTTGCCTGTAATCGTCGTGAAAGACAGAGCCAAGCGGTAGGCCTGCTGTAGCCACCCCTGGCTGCACCCAGCCATTCTGGGCTCACCCCTGTGCCCCCGGCTTCCTTTGGGAGGCTGACTTGCGTACAATTTGCAGAGCTGAGTGCTCCACTCCGCTGGGAGCAGCCGCCTGAGGGCAGGGCTGAGTCTCCGTCACCCCATCCCCAGTGCCCGGGGCAGGGCCTGGCAGGGAGCAGAGGCCCAGTGCTTGTTTACTGAAAAAAACAACTAACCAAAAAATGCATTGGTGAATGACCTGGCAGGAGGGTTTTGGAGCCAAGGGACTAAGCCCTTGCAAAAGTGTGCAGTGTTTCAAGTTCAGAAACCCCACAGTTTTAGAGCAAAAACAGGGACTCCTAAAGTTTTCAAGTTCAGAATCGGGTTACTCGCTGTGGAGGAGGAAACCCTAACCGCCCCTACTGGTGGCAGCCGCTGCCATAAGACCCAGAGCCTTTAAACTCCCAGAGCCCTTCCGGACCCTGTCCCAAAGTACCAGGCGGAGGACAATGCTGATTCAGCGGGCGACAAATGGCAAGGGCGGGAGGACCCTGAAAATCAGACCTGCCTCTGGCCTGAGAGGCCTCCGGGAACCCCGGGCTGCAGAGAGGGGCTGCAGCACCCCCTCCTGGCAGAGGGGTCTCTGTACTGTCCGTGAAGGAGGGTGCTCGAGGAGGCTGGAGTGTCGTCCTTCAAACCTCACCCCCCAGACAGGGCCCTGAATGGGACATCCCACAGGCTCCTTCCCCTTCGCCAGCCTCTGGTTATGGGAAGGACCTCTGCACCTCCCAGCCCACGAGCACCCAGGGGAAGCTGGGAATGCAGAGCTGGCTGCAAGCAGGGCGCTCTGCAAAGCCCTCTGTTTACAGAGAATGCTGTAGAAGCCACGCTTTTGTTCCCTAAGTGCCACAGGACTATCGGTGAGTGTGGCTAAATCCCCAGCCCCCTCCCCAGCGCCCCCACCCCCACAGCCAACCCCAAGCTCCCATTTATCCCACTGACAGAAATGGGGCAGGGGCCTCTGAGAAGGAAGCTTGTCCATTGAATTGTTCTTTCCTCCGGAGACTCACTCGTCCCTTTGTTTCCTGCTCTGTTCACAGAAGCAAAGCATCTGAAATGCAGGCCAGAGATAAAGTGCAGCCTAATGCAATTAGCTCCTTGTAGCCCACAGGTCCTAATGGGATACAGCTCCGCTCCTCCCAGCCGGCCCTAATGCAGGCGCTGTTTGTCATCTGCATTAGGCATCAAAGACCCAATAAGTGCTGTCCTCCCTCCTCTCCACCCGCCCCTACTCAGCCATTCCCGCTGCTCAGGGAGGCCCAGTGGGGCGCTGCCCCAACCAGCTGGCTCACTGGGTCAGCTTCTGTGAGAAGTCAGGAAGACCATGGCCCTTACCTGAGAGAAGCCTGCAGAGATGCCCCTTCAGGCCCCCCTGGGGGACAGCCGGCTCTGCCCCCCACCCCACCTCCTCCTTCACCCCCAACCTGGTTGGGGCTCTGGCTGCAGTCTTGGGAACTGCGGAAACTTCCTGAAACCACCTGTGCTGAGACCCACCCCCCACCCCCGCCACATCGCAGTGATCCCAATCCCAGGCTCTCCAACATGCTTTTGGATTTCTTCTTGTTCTTCTTTCTTTTTTTTTTTTTTTTCTTATTATAATGGTAATGGCCATAGTAGAAAATTTGGCATACAGAAAAGTAGAGACAAGAGAGTAGAATTTACCCATATTCCTCTCACCAAGAATAACACCCCGGCTAGCATTTTGGTTTGTTCTCTCCTACACGTACTGTTTTACATGTGAGCTTCTATTTGTGTCATTTTATGTCCTGCTTTTCTCGTGTCATTTTATGTCCTGCTTTTCTCATTTAACATTATAGTGTAAGCATTTTGCCATCTCATTATGCATTTCAGTAAACATGATTTTTAATGACCATATAATATTCCATCAAGGCTGTAGCTCAGAGACCAATGCTGTGCTAATGTTTGTTTTCAACCTGGGGTTCATTTTCTCGTTAATCTAAATATCTAAATTAGAGAATGAGATCCTGAAACAGAGAGCCTCCCTCCTTCCCACAACAAGGAGCTGAGGGTCCCAGGGAAGATGCTACATGTGCTGAGCTGTCCTCCCACAGGTCTCAGCCCCTACCCTCCCCACACCTCCTCCGTGGAGTGGCACGTGGGGGCCTCAGAGGCTGGTATGGGGCCTGACCGCAGAGGGCGGCGGGGGAGGCACTGGGTTGGGTGTTCCTGGGGGTGGGACTGCAGCAGAAGCCTACAAACACTAAGCCCAAATGCTCTGCAGCTCCCCGGTGGCGCTGGGTGTGGGGCCCGGTCTCTGCCGCTGGCCCCGTGGCACCACTCCGTGGATGGGCCCCAAGGCAGCAGCCCTAGTCAGGCCGTGCTCATCCTCCTGCTCTGCTTCTCCCCAGGCCCCTGGAATCTCCAAAGCGGACAATCAGTCCCAGGGACTCACGACCAGCATCCGGTGGGGGCAGACGCCCATCAATCAGTCCACGCCCTGGGACACTGATGAGCCACCCTCCAAACAGATGAGGGAGAGCGACAATCCAGGTGTGTACTTCATCGGCAGCCAGAGACTCCCACGGCGAGGCTGGGAAGGGGGTCAGAGGCCCCCTGGGTACTCCAGCTCCTCAGCAGGTCCCAGCTCAGGGGCCTGCAGCAGCCCAGGCCTCAGGCTGCCTGCGGGTAGGGACCCTGTGTGTCCTGGGCAGTAGCTGCATCTCTACCCCTTTCTCTGCTACTCAAGAAGGCTTTGGCGGAGGTGGAGGGAGTGAGAGTGACATCACAGGAGTGACTGTGAATCTGCTTTGTGTTATTTTGAATAGTCCTTCCCAAACCTCAGGATTCTGGTTCATATGTCTCTCAAGTCACACCTTCCAGGGAGGTTTTGCCTTGCCAATGTTGAAATGAGAACCAGGATGCTCCACCCCCCGGGACTGAGGACTCCTCACCTCTTACAGCACTCCAGGCCTTCTTGGGTCAGCTCTGACCATAACACCTTCCCTGTTACCACACATTGGTCCCAGACCTCCCCTTAGAATACACAGAACTCGTCTGCTTGGCCCTCCACACCACAGCCCTACAGATACCTGAACACCCCACTCATCCTCCCCTCCAAGTCTTCTGCAGGATAAACACACCAGGTCCCTCGGCCACACTCCAAAGCCTGTGGCTGCCAGTTCCTTTGCCCTCCAGAGAATTATTTCTCCCTCTGCGTCCCTCAGGGCCCGGAACCCAACGCAAAGAGCCCACATGTGCTATGACCAGCACCTCCTTCATTCAGCCCCTCTACTTTGACCACTGCAGCCTTAGGTCACTTCTGATTGGCTCCTAGCCCCAGACATGCGCTGTCACCAGTGAGACCCCAAGACTGTCATGGCAGCAATTCTGACCCCCGTCCTCTCAATCTGCCTTAGGTAGCGGGGTGTAGGGACTCACAGGCAAGTCCTTGTCAATATCTTCCCCCAGGACTCTAAAGATCTCTTAGATTCCAGCTCTTTATTGCTGACCTCTGCCTAACCCTCCCAATATGATGTCACCTCCAGATTGAGTGGTGATATTCTCCCTGTCATACAACTCATTGATAAATAGGGTGAGCAGGGCTCAGTGCACATCACTAGAGACCTCCTTGAGGTCCCCAGCATCCTCTGGGCCAATCGCACTCTGATAATCAGTCACCGCCATGGCCCGGCATCTCTGTACCTTCACCAGAGTTCCCAGAGAAGTCACTAGCTGTGCTCCCAAGTTCTGGTGCATCGTTCCAGGCTCCCTGGCTAATCCTGGAGAGAAATGAGCTTAGGATGGCATGTCTTGTGCTTAAGACACCAGGCTGGCTCACAGCTGCCTCCTCTTCCTCAGACTTAGGGACAATCCCCCTTAGCAGCCTATTCTAGAATCTTGCCGGCACTGCTTCACCAATATTTGCCAGCTTCTAGTTTTCTCTAACCTCCTATTTCTGTGAGGGAGCTCCCAGCTCCCCTTCTCGTCTCTGGGGCTAGGGGTCCTGAGTGGCCCCCCGGCCCCCACTCTCTTCCTCAGTCTCCCTGCCCTCAGTCTATACTGCCATTCCAGCAGCATCATGAAAACCAAGGTGGCATTTGGGTGATGGAGACCTAGCCCCACACTTATTCAGTCAGCGGTGACCCAGGCTGCCTTCCCTGTCACAGTGTCTTCTGGCTTCGCTCACAAGCACGCTTGGGTCACCTCAGTGTCAGCTCAGCTCAAGGGGACCTGACCCTGCTCGGCCTGACCTGGGCTCAGCAGGCCTCGAATCTTGTATCAAGTCTCAGGAGGTGTGTCTTCTTCAGTCAAAATTCCCTTAAGGGCCAAATGCACTTCTGTTGTTTCCCCCAGGGCCGGCCATGCAGAGGTTGCTTAGGAGAAAGCCTAGCCCCCCAGCTCCTGCCCGCCTTCCCCCACTTCCCGCACCTCCTGCTCTCCCTTCCTGCACCACAGGGCCCTTGCACGGCTCCAGGTTCTGGTGTTCTCACCTTGCCCAGCAAACACCTACTATCTTCACAATCCACCTTTCTCCCCACCTCCTCCAGACAGCTATTCTCCAGAAAGGAAGGAAAAACACCAACATTTATGGAACATTTAATACATGCCAAACACTCTGCTAGTTTTTCTTTTTTCTTTTTTTCCAAATACATTTTCCTCATTCAATTCATCCCAAGAGACCTCTGAGGTAGGTGTTGCTAGTTGCATTTAACAGACGAGAAGAATGAGGCTCAGAGAAGATAAGCACCTTGCCCGGGGCTCCTGGCTAATAAATGGCAGAGTCAAAATTTGAACCCAGAGCTCTTTGAAGGTCTCTGCTTTTTTTCTCTCTCTCTTTTGTTGCCTCTTGAGCTCTCCCAAGTAGATTGTGCTCCCCCTCTGAGCCTCCAAGGCCATCTGCTCATATACCCCCAAAGCATTTATCCTATGCTACCATAATCACAGATTTTTAACCTGGGGGTTCCTGGATGCAGGTGTCTTTTCCACCTCTGTGACCTCAGCACCCAGCCCAGGGCCTGGGGCAGTCGGTGTTTGCCGAGGGAATGTGTATCCAGCAGATGACATCTCTTCTGTCTCCCTTGCAGGCACAGGGCCGTGGGTGACCACGGTGGCCGCCGGGAGCCAGCCCGCCCTGATCGCACACTCCTATGGAGTGACCCAGCCTCCCACCTTCAGCCCGGCTGTGAACGTCCAGGCCCCAGTCATTGGGGTGACGCCCTCACTGCCTCCCCACGTGGGGCCCCAGCTCCCGCTGATGCCAGGCCACTACTCACTCCCACAGGCACCCTCTCAGCCACTGAGCAGCGTGGTGGTCAACATGCCCGCCCAGGCCCTGTATGCCAGCCCGCAGCCCCTGGCCATGTCCACACTGCCTGGCGTGGGGCAGGTGGGCCGCCCGGGACCCACTGCCGTGGGCAACGGCCACATGGCAGGGCCTCTGCTGCCTCCACCACCACCAGCCCAGCCGTCTGCCACCCTCCCCAGCGGTGCCCCTGCCACCAATGGGCCCCCCACGACTGACTCAGCCCACGGGCTACAGATGCTGCGGACCATTGGCGTGGGGAAGTATGAGTTCACCGACCCCGGGCACCCCAAAGGTAAGTTCCGCTGCCCACATACTCCTGTGTGCCCACATCTGTGCTTCCCCGAGCAGTCATGACAGCAGTGCGGACAGAGGTGTGCTCTCTAGCAGGTCCCTCCCTGGCCTCACCCAGCCCAGAAGTAGTGGCGGGGCCTCCCCCTGCCCAAGACAGCCTGGCCTCAGGCAGAGGAGGCAGAGGGGAAGGTGGAGGAGGGAAGGAAAGCAAGGCGAGGACCTGTGAGCTGGCAGGGAGAGGAAGGGAAGGAAGAGCCTGCAAAGTCCAGTGTCCTTCTGCCTCCAGCCCAAGCCCTAAGCCATTCTCACCTCTGACCCCAAGGCCAGGCCAAGTATGGAATGAGCAGGAATCATCTGCTCCTCTTAGGGCTCCATGGAACAGTCCTTTGTGGGGCCTTCTCCATTTTCCACCCATAAGAACAGTCAGAACATGAATTGTGTCCTTCCCCAGAAAAGCACCCTCTGCTGTGCCATCGGATGAGAGCAGCTCCCCAGACATTAGGTGAGGGGAATGTCTCTTCCCCAGGAGACACTCCCAGACCATCCTGAGCCACTTGGATTTTTTGTTTCAAGGACCCAAGGGTGGCTCTGTGAGGCTCCAGGAAAGAGCACCTCTAGCCTCAGCCTTCAGTTAACCCCTTTGCCCCACCCCCAGGGCAGTTTTCAAGGCAGATCCTTGACAACAGAGGCTGCAGGATGAGCCCCCAGCCTTAGAGTTAGGACAAAGTGCATCAGCAAACAGGCATCACTCCTGAGGTCTCTCTCAGGGATCTCTCCAGCTGGAATGCAGAAGGGGGCAGGAGGACAAGGGACCACAGATGTTAGACTGGTGGGGTTTATCCACCCCAGACTTACTTGCTATCCCTTAGAGCTCCAGACAGCCAAGCCCCTCTCCTGCTGAGTAGAGAGGGGAGGCAGCCAGGCCTGGACCCAGTGGCAGGCAGGAGGGCACATGGTGGGCGGTCTGCCTGCTGGGGTACCCAGGCCTCCTTTGAAAGAGGGGAGTCCTAGGAGGTGTGGACCTCTGGGCATCACTTCTCAGCCTTCTCACTCAGAGCCCCTGGAGATGGCTTCTCAGGGGGCCCTGTCTCTCTGCAGAGCAATGACTCCCACTAGTCATTCTTTCCTGCCTGCTCTCATGCATCTCTATCTTTATTCTTTCAAGCAATTTTCGGACCTCATCAGGCATCCCCACAACAAAGCCGTGTCTAGATCTCCACTGGGTTTCATTCCCAATCTGAATGTGCCCCAACTGCCTTTGTTTTGGAAATCAGCACTAGTTTTAAATGACAAAATTATAGAAAATTACATCTAAATTCTGGTAAACTCTTGCTTTGTTTAAGATCTTTTTAAAAAAAAATTGACTAAATTGATTTTTTGTTTGAATTGTTTTGGTTAAGCGCTCTCTCCCCTAAAAAGGAAAAGAAAAAAAAAAAAAAAAAAACCTTACTCCCAGTTTATACATGGCCAGATCTGATACACTGGGAAATGGGTGTCCTGGCTGCTCCCAAGGCTGTACCAAAGCCCAAGGCACTGGGTGGTCTTCCCTCTCCCACCATAGGGGCATCTCCCCCTCCCCTAGAGGCCTCCTAGGGCTGATGAAAGGTCTTACTGATTTGCCAAGTTTCAGACATGTATCTAGGAAAAGGACTTATTCTGGGCAGAAAGGGAACTGGCCCAGTTGGGCCTAAAGTCCCTGGTTTGGAGCTTGGCACAGAACTGGGGTCCGCCTCCTCAAAGGCACAGGTGCGTTCTATAATCAGCACCCTGAGCCCATAAGTTAGGGGCCCAGGAAGTTCCAGGCGGTAGGGACACACTGGGCCAGCACGCCATTGCAGAGCCTCACCTGTAACATCTTTCTGGGGCCAGAGGGCGTGAACCATCCTCTGTACTGAGCTCAAACCCGCAGACAGGAGGGAAGGAGAGAGAGGGCCCCTGAGGGAGTTTGTCCTGCTAGCCCTGGAGGGTGGATTCAGGGCTTGGTGAGGCCAGGCATAGGGTCAGCCTAGGAAGTGTCCACAGCCCTGCCTTCTGGTAAGCCAGTGAGATCCCTCCAGCTCCAGCCAGCGACAACCGGTGACCCATCTGTCACGCTGATTTCCGTAGTCGGCCAGTGAGCAGGCTGTGTCCCCAGAGACTGCATTTAACTCACCTCTCTATTTATGGCCCTCATCAGCTGATTTATCCCCTTATATTTGTGGTGAAGAAAGACAATGAAGCATGAACATACAAATGCCTCCAAACTCAAGCCTGGGTGGGTTGTGTGGGTTTTTTTGTGTTTTTTTTTTTAAGTAATTTCTCCTTTCATTTCTAATCTTAAAAGCCTTTATTGCTAAAGCTGTAATTTGTCTGTCAGATCTAATGTCAAACAACTGCATATTTTTTAAAATAAGAAACCCGAATTTTAAAACCAAATCTTTGAAACTTACCATGTGAGAATCATATTCCTGACAAGACCATGTGGGTCTGGATTTGGGTCACTTCTAATTTCGCCCCTAGGGATTCTACATCTCCAAAACCCAATTGATTTCACACTCCTAAATGACAGACATCTGGCTCCAAGTGAGAACCAGGAGGCACCGCGTGATGCTATCAACACTAGTCAGAACTCCACTTGAGGAAGGAAAAAAAAGAAGAAGAACTTTCCGTTTCTCCTGTTCGGTTTGAAAGCTTGCCCGGCATTATAATAAGATTCACCATAGAGCTCCTTGAGATCCAGCTCATTAAAGTCCCGCGACTTTTCCTCTATTGTTTGACATGACAACCTGGCCTCTCACGGGGTTGAGTAATTATGGAGAGATCCCCTCCATGAAGAACGGGTCTTGCCAGCCAGAGGGATGGGCCGCTGGTATTTTTAGACTTCATTAGTGCCCTGATTTAAAATTTCACATTTTGTTTCTTGTACTTATCTTCCAATCGATGGAGCTGAAATTTCTGTTGGGGCTATGAGAGCCTGCCTTCCCAAAAAGGGCGTTGGGACTTTAATTTAAAACTTAACCAATTGAAAAATAAAGGTGGTGCAGAAATGCTTTTTGATTTGCAATAGGTCAAGCGATTGTCTCTCTTCTGTGACTAGAGAAGCCAGCTTGCATGTAGTTCACTTTAATGAGTGTTATTTAAATGCATTGAGCACATATAGATTTTCTTAAGAAACTTATAAGATGAATCTTTCTTTCTCTAAGAATAATTTGGGGGTAGGATTTCATTCTTTAAAAAAAAAGATTATGTACTGAAAACTAATTAAAATATAGATTTCATGTGTGCAAAGTGATAAGGGAGGAAAAAAGAATTAGTTCTATTTGATTCCTGTTATCATATACCTGAGGCCTTTGTCTTGTTGGACTGGAAACCGTGATGCAATCTATGGGCAGAGGTGGTGGCCAGCATCAGGCCTTGTGAGATGAGTGAGGGAAGTCTAATGTCACTGCCCCAGTACCCCAGGAGCCCAGTTGTGTGAGGGCAGAGGTGCAAGCTCTTGGTGTCATTTTTCTATCCCCTACCTTTTTCCACAAATGATTCCTGGGGGCTAAGACGGTAGCCAGAGACCTTTAAAAGCCCCAGACTAATGGTGAGCTGTGGAAAGTTTATATTTTCACCTGCATGTCCAAGGAGAGAGAAGCAAGTTTGTACCTGCTCCCTTCTTCTGAACCAAAAAGCAAAATCCAAGTTGACCTGAAATGGTGAGGGCTTGTCTCTTCTGACTTCAGATTTTGTAGGCCTAGGGTGAGGAGCCATGAGGATCCCCACAGCCAGGCAGCCATGTTGTGGGGTGTGCTCAGCCCCTCCCTGTGGTTTCACACCTCTTCCTTCTCATCCTTGCCCCAGAACCCCATCCCGGGGGAGCTCTGTGTGTCTTTATGCCACCTTCCGCTTGGAGAGCAGCCACTCTGTCTCCATGAGTGGCAAAGACAGGATCTCGAAAAGATACTTTGAGGCATAGTGAATAGCTGTGTGATGGGGACAGGTCTCCTAACCTCTCTGAGCCTCCTTTTCTTCATCTTTAAAATGGGATGAGAGTACCATCTTCATCAGGCATAGAGGAGGTTTGAATGAGATTGTGGACATGAGCATACATAGTACTTTGCCCTCTTAACTCTGCAACACTAACCCCAGGTCTAGAGTTCAGCAGAGACAGAAGCTAGTGAAGAGGGGAGAAACAGAGCCCCCTCCCCGGTGCAGAGGAGATGGAAGAAGCCCAAGTTTGTTCATACTGTTGGCAGCCCCCTGGTCAAGCAGTGTCATGGGACCATCATGTCCCCACGTGTAAAAGGGAGTGGATGTGTCACCTTCCTGGCAGGAGGATTTGGGACTGCTCTCCCCAGTGTGGAGCCCAGCACAGATCCCCCCATCCCTTCCCCACCCTCTGACATGCCAGGACACACACTGCTCAGTGCAGATTCTGGAAGCAGCTGGGAATTCATGATAAAGCTGTTTGCCCACGCATGGTTAGCCCAGAGGCACAGAACGTCCAAACTGAAATCACCTTCCCACAGACCTGCTTTTCCCGGGCCTCTGTCTCAGAAATGACATCACGAATCCACCCAGGAGTTCAAAGTCAGAGCCCGTGGTTGTCCTTGACCTGCCCCCTTAGGCACTGAGTCTGAAAACTTCTTTGATTCTGCCTCTTCTGGATCTGTCCTCTTTCTGTCCCCACCACCACTCCCCTCTCAGGGTACCAACGCCTCTGGCCTGCCTTGGTGGCCTCCAGGCCTACGGCACATCTCCTCCCACCCAGGCCTACGGTGCAGCCAGCATGGTCTTTGCAGAACCCAAGTCCGGTCCCGTCACTCCCTGGCAAATGCCTCCACCAGCCCCTGCTACCTTCGGGACAGTGCCCAACCCTTCACGTGGTGCCTCAGGGTCTCACTTCTGCCTGCCTCCACCTTCATCTCTGCTGTTCTGCTCACAGGCTGCCCTGAAGCCACGCCAAGCCTAGGGTTGCCTCCCTTCCAGCTGTGCTCTGTGCTTGGCCACGCACCTGCAGTACAGTCACCCTGCTCC